AAAATGTGGATTATAATTGGTGTTTAAATGTTACTATAATTTGTCTGTCTATTTGCTAATTTTTTTTTATTTATTCAGAATCGTTCTGCAGAATCGACTAAGGACAGCTTCAGAAAGGCAGTGGAGCGGGCGAAGCATGAGATGGATAGGCGGAGCGCTATACAGAGTCTCGGCCAATAAGCTCTCTCGCACTCAAACCACCTGCACACCTAACAGTAGACCAGGTAACCATTTTGCAGAGATCGTTGCCTGTTTGAATATACATTGCCTGACCAGTTTGCAAATATTCTAAGCACTAAAATGAAATTTGAAATGTGTGTTACCCACTCTTTATGTTTACATGAATATGTGCCCCAGAATTATTATAATTGTGGTTTTGTAGGCTTTCAAGGGTCAGTATATATCGGTTGTCTATAAGTACACATTCCAGATTATCAACCCATCCAGCAGGAGAGTGGAAGGGGGCTACAGGTTGCCTTCTGAAATAATAAAGCTGTCATCTGTCACTGGCTACAGGTTGAGAGAGAGACACAGAGAGAACGAGAGAGATGGTGAATGGCCTAGATTAAACCCTAAAGCCCTAGTCAGAAGTGGAATTAAAGATCAGCTCCTGCTCTGTGACTGAGTTCCACACACATTTCATCTATTTATGATCTCCCCAACAAACTGTAGTCTCACCACACACGAGTCTGGTACAGTTAATATACACAGACTCAATCTCTCCTTCACTTTTTCACATGAACTTCACAATTGCATCCCACATAACCAGCGAGCCATTTCTCACATGCACTTGGATCCTAAATTCCTTGTGCTCTGCCCTCATTGCTATATCACTCAGTGCTGCATAAAGTACAGTGTTTATATCTACTTATTTTTCAGATTGCCATTTGGCTGTAGTTGACAGACCCGGACGTATAAATAAACAGCATGGTATCTTGTCTTAGTTGTACTTACTGGCCTCCGTCACTACCAATGAATGTGATGACCTTTAATTACATGCTATTAGTCTGGCTTGTTATAAATACATTTGTTTGTGCACAAGCTTAGATGAGGCAAGAGGAACAAACAAGCACTGACCTACAGCTCACTTCAAGCTATAATATCTGCATTACATTCACAAAGACATAATACATTGCTTTATATTGGCTTTATATTGTCAATCCAAACCAAACACAAAACCAAAGAATTTCTTTCTTCCATGAAAAACAAAAAGTGATGTTTAGTGGAATGTTAATGCTACTTTTTCATTCATACATTGAAAGAATTAAGTGACCAGGGACTGTCAAGTACCAAAAATGTCATAAAACACTATAAAATTATTACAAAACCATCATAAAAAAGTCCATCAGACTTTGAAAAATATGAGTTTTGTGTGGCAAACAGATTACAGAGTTAGGTTGTTATGCACAGCTAAACCTCCTTTTGTGTTTCATGGCACAAAGTCACACCTCCATAAAATGGTGTGAGATACTTGATGTTTTGATGTGTAATGGGTCATCTTCTATAATTGTCTTTTTCTTTCCATACTACAGGAGAGTGGTACAATCCATATGTTTCTTCGACTGGTAATCAGGGAAGAACATCAGCCACACGTTACGTAGCCAGGTTAGTATTGTAATAGATGGTTAATTTCACAGCGTAACAACATAAAACATATGACCATCAATTTGTTTACTGGGTTTGTGATTACATTTTTTTCTATGCGTATCAGTCGTGCTGTGCAGAAGAGTTTAGCTATAATACGACAGGCCCGACAGAAGAAACAGAGGGCCAAGCAGTACTGCATGTACTATAACCGATTCGGCAAGTGTAACCATGGCGACGCTTGCCCCTACATCCATGACCCTGACAAAGTGGCCGTCTGCACCAGGTACTGAGTATCTGCACACTCTCACATTATACAATATGTCTAACGCTTTGTAAGCCAGCTTCAAATTAAACTTGATTTGTTGCCAGGTTTCTCCGAGGCACATGCAAGCAGACAGATGGGACTTGTCCTTTCTCGCATAAAGTAGCCAAAGAGAAGGTACGTTTTTAGGA